TATATATATATATATATACATACATACACACACACACATATTACTAGACAAGATTATTGAAACTAAGCAGATCACATTAATTCTATGAAGGAAAATAAATAAATAAAAAAAATATACGTATACTCTTTAAACTGTATATTCGTTTTCAAAGCCATGCAAGCAACAAAGCGTCTTTTAGATTAGTATGAGTGCTCTAAGGCCTAAGAACAGCTGTGCTACCATCCCTGAACAATTTTCCAGTTTCCTCTACCACTGGCTTAATTTGACATCACTGTACACAGAAACCTATTACTGAAAGGGTTTTCCATTTTTATACTCATTGATTTCACACTATTGTTTCAGCCAAACTGATAAGGCACATTCTGCAGGTCAGAATTACTGTTGTGTCCTAATGTGATGTCTGTGAATTGAATTCACGCTCTATTCTGTTATGAGCGAAGTAATACCAAAAAGTAATACCAGCTAAGCTCCTGTGCACCTTTAGATGCCTTCATTAGCGGAATAAGATAGCAGAGGTGTTTGCTGTACTTGAAAGATTTAATGCATTATATTTACATCAAAATATCTTGAATAAGACTGACCCATTAGGATAACTGGAGTATAGGAAAAACAGAAGTAGGCAAAAGACAACCCCTTTATCCACCCTTCTCTAAACTGCATCGGGAAAATGAATCATGTAATATGTCTGGTTCAGAAAAAATACACTTATTAGCTTTATTTTTCACAAATTAATGGCAAAATTATTATTATTTTTTTTAACCAGAATCCTTAACTAAGTCCACAGAGTTGTATTCTTCAGTACTCACCTGAACAGATGAAGGTGGTGTTTTTCAATGTATGGCACAGTGAGTAAAGAAGAATCATGTATCCATCGAGCTTGAACTACCATCTGCACCAAGCACGTTATATTTAGTGCTGCGACAAGCCAGCCATGATGTGCTGCCACATCCAACATAGCCTATAAAAGAAGCAAAGCAGACAATATCAAATGCCCCGTTTTACAGATTTCTTAAATGTGTTACATGCAATGCTGGCAAATAGTACTGAATGTACATAACTGTCCATTCCCCTTTTACTTTGAAATTAAAATTGTACAGTTTGTAGAGGCCAAGTCCTGTATCTACAACTAACCCTCATAACTTTTGAGTACAAAGGGAAATACTTCACAGTTTGATCACTTTCAGTATAAACAATATAAAACACGCCACAATCAGATTGGTGATAAAAATGACAAAAAAGTTTCCATATGTAAAAAAATGTATATAACTACAAATTAAACCTGATTGGACCACTCCAGCTGTGGAAGACACCATCCTAAACATATTAGGCCATCCACTCTGATGACAGATATAGGAGATCAAATTGGTTACCACTCACATTACTGAGATGACAATGCAAGGAGCTCCATATATGTACCAGTATTACTGCATTGTTATCCCTGTCATTCTTTCCTGATGAAAGAGACAAGATCTTTGGTAAATGATTTATTTACTGTTCTACATAGAAATAATGTAAAGAATCACACCTACTCACAGGGTGATTTTCCAGCAATTTGAAAACTCTCCTTGTAAGTGCAGCATACCATCATAAACCCTTGTTAAATGCTAGAACAACAGAATTATTCAGAACTAGGAGCATCACTTGTTATTATCAGACCATTTATAGCCAGCCTTAAACCCAGAAGCACAGGTTGAAGGTAAAGCTGCTATGGATGGTTACAAAGTAGTTGATGACCTACATGAAAAAAAGAATCATAAAAAGAGAATACAAATGCACAACATCTAACAGAATTATAAAATGCTATGGTGAAATGTCACTCACGGAGCCTTTGCTTTAGACCTTGAGAACATTAAGAAGAAAAGTACTTTTTGTTTGCCTAACAAATAGTACTGCTTAATAAACCAGTCATAAGGTATATATAACCTACATGTTTCACTGCCCACCAAAGGAATTGTGTAGAGTGTTTTCTATTAATCTTTGCATTAAATCTAATGTTTTACAGACAAACAGTAGACTGTGGTTACTTAAGACAAACTAAACAGTGAAAGCTTCTTCCAACAAAGGAGCTGTTTACACACGCGGAGCTGTTTCAATTAAATTACACAAATTCTCAACAACCTTAGTGGTCTAGTGATATAACGGCATGCATGGACGTGGGATCTACAATGTGAAGTTACATTTTCAGGTTTCTAATCTGCTTGTGGTTGAAGACAATCAGATGTGGCTTGTTAAAACAACTTGTCATTGGTATGAACAACATAAACCACATACTTCGTAAATTACACATACACCTTACAAACAGCATCACTCTCTTTCATTTTAAGACGCTTACACAAAAGTTAGATTTGAATAACAATAAGATTTGTGAGGCTACCAATAAAGCAATCAACGACAGAACAGTACTTTTCTTTTTAACCTCGGTGACATTTGACTGGCTTATATGCTTGGTGAAGACATCTTTCTCTATTTTATAGATAAAAAGGAATGTTCAATCATCTGTCAGAGATGATAGAGACTTGTCCCTGCTTGTTTTCAGATGTTAACGCCTACATAGTTGGACTATCGCATATGTTAGGATTGGCTGAATCAGGTGCAAATATCAGGCTGTGTATAGGTGGGCTGATTCTAGAACTCCAACCCTGGATTTTCGAAGAACTTGTTATCTTAAAAAGGCAGGACAGCGCTAGTGTTGGATGAATAGACCAGCATTGTTACGAAAGGAGAGAGTCCACAGCCTTCCGTAGGATGTCCTTTAGCGCTTCCTGTGGCTGAATAGAGAAACAAGGAAGTGTAGGGAGGATACGTATTCTGGAGAGGAGGCAAGTTAAGGGAACCTGTTAAGAAAACCAGTGTGTCACTCCAGGTTAATCCATGCTTGCCTGATAAAGCCAGGTGCTCATCCAGTTTGTTTTCTGACAGCCACTATACAGGATAACCACACACCAGTAATGTCTTTCACACTCTATGACTAAGCGCCTGTGTGTGATATGCATCAGGGGTATTAATTCATTGCTTGGGTAATGTTTCTACGTGACGAGTTATTTGCTGCATTAGAGGGCTGGTAACCGCTGAGAATCAGCGGTTACCATTCATTAATGGATGCCTCAGTATAGAGGCATCCATTAATGAAAGGGTTAACCTTTTCCAGACACCTGATACCTTAATATCAGGTGTCTGAGAGTCAAAACAGAGCGGGCAAACATGCCGGGATTCTGACAGCTCGTATAGATTTAGAGATACCTCTCTCGATCGTATACTGGCTTTTTTTTCCTTTCACTTTCAGGAATAGATACATAATGTATCTATTCATGAAAGAAGAATGTTTCAGTTTTCTGATCGTTGTTGGAACGATCAGAAAATCTTTAGTGACAGCTGAATCCTGAACTGCTGCAGGATCAGTGTCACTAACTTATTATTGGCTGTTCTGAAGTTTGAAGCAGCCTAATAATAACCAAAAATGTATTAATTTATCAAGCAGTAATAGTGAGATTAATCCACAATGACTGCTTAATATAACTAAATAAATAACATTTTTAAAAGTTTTTAAAAAAATAGTGAAAAGTGTAAAAAAAAATATTGAAACGTTTAGTGAAAATAAATAAATAAATGAATGTATTTATTCATTGTGAGGCTGATTGCAAATTCAGCTGTTTCAAGGAATAGAAGAATTCAGTGTGAAAAAAATACTGTTCTCTTCTCTCTTATGCCTGATAACTGTTAGGTTTAGCTTCCTTCAAGCTGAACTCTAGGCAGATATAAAAGACCCTGTAATCATTGTTACATCATAACATGTATTTTTCTTAATACAAGCAGTCTAAGTAAATTAACCTAACTGTGTGTTAGCCTCTTGTAGACCCTGCATAGAACAACTGTAGCGTTAGAGGAAAAGGAAGTATAAGAATACACTGAAGTTCATGTACTGACAAGAAGCGTGCTGATGGCAAGAAAAAGCAGAGTGACAAAGAGATGAGCTCATCACTATGTCACTGTCCAATCACAGGATGGTGGGTCAAGGACGATCTAGGCACAGAGGAAGTGAGTTGAATGATACTGGGCATCAGAATGAGGACATGTAGTGGCAGAAAAATTTACTGGAGAAAAAAAAATGGAGAATTATCTAAATTGAGGTTGAATGTTGTGAATGTTGCAGCAAAAATTGGTTTTAGTTACTTTCATGGGCTATTCATTTGTATCTTACTTTTAGCTGGAGGTCTGCTTTAATGTGTCTTTTACAAACAATGTGTGTGCATTTAAACAAGCATTTACTTTGCCATCTAAGTTTAACACATGAAACTTTGAAGCAGATTATGTATGTATTATGCTGTAGCTATTTGCTCTGCAGGAACAAACGAGGAGATCTGGGCAATGAAATGTCCCTACTTTCATTCCCTTTTACCCCACAGCAGAAAATCAAACGGTGTTATCTACCAACTGTATTACCAACATCTACAAGCTATGGTGGTGCAGGCTTCCTTTTGCACTTGGTCTTACAACTCCTAGTTTAGTGTCCAACTCAATATTCAGATTTGCTTGCTGAGAATAACTGGACTTCAAACAACTGCTGGTTACTATTACAACTCAAAGGGACTCTGTAGAACTAACAGACATGTACCATCTAGCAATTATGAAATTAAAGCTCGCCAGTGGCGTAACAACCGGGGGGCGTTCGCCCCGGGAGCATAGATGGCGGGGGGCGCCTGCCGCGAGCCGGGCCGACTGTCACCAGAACGAGGCACCAGGCATCAGGCTCCGTTATGGCAGATTATGCGGCCGGGGCTCTAGCACGGCCGCATAACCTACCATAACGGAGCCTGTTGCCTTGATCTGTTTGACAGTCGGCCCGGCTCG